TAAATATAATAAATATACTGTACACAGAACACACACATATATTATGCAAACAAAAACTTTTATTTTGTATTGCGACTAATCGTTTGACAGCCCTAATATAAAGATGGTTATTTGGGTTTGGAACAATATGAAGGTGAGTAAATAATGACGATTTAAATTTTGTGTGAACCATTTCTGTAGGATTCGTAGAGTTTCAAATATACAGTACCTACAGTAGTACGCATAAAAACATTAATACGTATAAAAACATCTTGACAGCATCTGCAAAACATTTGGAATTTTTACATATTTGCTCGTCAAATGCTATTAGACATAATGAAAACAGTTTTGGTTCCATATTTGGCATCTGTCTGTCATTATAAACTGATGCTGAATAGTCTAATGACTACGTACCCCATTTGAAACTGTGGAATGTGTGTGTGATAGACATATAGGCGTGCTTTATGAATCACAACATGAAGGGTATGTTTAACAGGAAAGAAATAGATACCTCCTTTTTACTGATAATGACACTTATGACACACACTTCCCTTAAGGCAAGAATTCACACTAACACACAAAACATACAATAATAGTAAGTAGTGTTACCAATTTTGACCAGACACACTTTCAGCTACAGAAAACTGAGTAGGTTGATCTTGTGGCTGTTTCTTCCACTATGGGTAATTTCGTCTTATTAAACTATTAGTAAACAAACTTTATTAAAATAACATTTTCGAATGTTTCTTTAACATTAATATTTAACAAGTAACACTTTGACACATACATGCATCACAGGAGATTTCTTTTATTGTTTTATTTTATTTTCTTAAACCATCGTGCCATTTCCACCCCATCTGAAATCAGCAATCGTTTTGTTGCAGATTTAAATTTTTTTTTTTTCGCATTATAGCATTTTATGTACAATAGATACAATTAAATGGTATTTTCAGTCTTTTTGCATAATTACAGCTTGATGCCCGATAAAAATATTCAGTTTTTTAAATCATATTTGCCTTGGTTTTTTCTTATGAATCATGTGATGTGCAAAGATAATATTTAATTATCAAATTCTTCACTAACACTGTTGTCTACTTCATAACTAAGTACAGTAACTTGGAAAAAAAATTAGGGGCAAAATTGTTGGTTGTTGTGATAATGACACCAGAGTTAATTTATATTAATTTAGATTATCGTAGTTTTAAGTTAAAACATAATTATTCATATTTTTATTAATAGATTTAATATTTTAACCATTTCATATTGATAGATTGTCATATTTTAAAATTAAAAGTGGGACAAGGGTAAAACTTTAGAAATATAGAGATAAAAATATAGAAAAGACTATAAGATGAAATATAAAAATATAAAAATCTATATCTTTTGAAATTTGAAAAAATGGCAAAAAGAAATACTGAATGCATGGTAAAAATTTTCCAAGACCATTTTAATGTGACCTTCATAACAAAAAGTGATGATAAAAATTTAAAAATGCCCATAACAAAAGAAAGTACCCCGTGGTGTCTGTTGTCTATCTATGTTTTTCACACTTTTATGGTAAACTATCCTCATATATTTGAAGCAAAACTATTTCTTACCAGTCTCCACAGCCTCTTTCATGTAGACCGCACAGTATGGATTGAGTACTTCTTCATGGTAGGCAAGCCCAGGGTCCATCTCAAAACTCGAAAAACCAATCCTCAGGAATGGAGACATGACTGTAAACTCCCAGATCCAACAGCAATAGCCTCCCGTGAAAGTATGGTGTTTAATTCCACTGTAACGATCTTCTGTATAGTGATGTACTCCTATTTGGTATTTATTTTCATATTTGTGATGTCCGATGTATGGGTTTTGAATCTCAAGTGGCTCAGTAGAGGGGCAAGTACTGTACAAGTATAAGTCTGGAATGATGGTGTCCTTAGCTCCCTGGTATCCAAAGTAATATTTTTTTCAATCGAAGTGTTTAAATTTGTCCTTTGTCCATCAGATCCGGCTCTCTTATAGCCACTGTTTTAGAAGGAATGATGTTGGGATGAAACGGTTGAAACAGTCTACAAAAACAAAATAAAATATAATAAATTCAAGTATATTAATTAAAGTACAACAATAAAGAAATAAAAATAGCTAATTAATTCAAAATGACAACAATATATTTATATTAAATGAAACTTAGTAAATGGATAAAAAGTTGTAGTATATTATATACAGTATATTAGCAGTTTTAGCAGAAAAAAAATAAGAAAATAATTAATTGCGAGCACTTTATTTTAATTTAGTTTTAGTTTAATTTATAACATATAAAATAACACATCATTAGTACATTCAGGATTTCAATGGTTAAACATGTTATGACACTTTGATTTTCATTTTTTAATGTTCATATACAACTCATATTTGTCAATAAAGTCACATAAACTCTTAAAAATAAAGGTTCCAAAAGGGTGTTTTTGCGGTGATGCCATGGAAAATCAATTTTTGGTTCCCAAAAGAGCCTTTCAGTGAACAGTTCCTAAAAGAACCATTTTGAAGAACATTTTAAAAATCTAAAGAACCTTTTTCAACTGTAAAGAACGTTTTCTGCATTTGAAAGGTTCCATGGATGTTCAAGGTTCTTCAAAGAACCATTGTTGCCAATGAAGAACCTTTATTTTTAAGAGTGTATTAATGATACTGTTCAATTAAGTCTCCTTAAACCATTAACTAAAGCCCAGATGCAAAAACGCATGAACAACCCGGTTGTAAAGATCATTCTCATATGCTCTCTGTCTAATGGAAACACAGCTAAAAGACATGCTTTAACTTCTTTCCATACTACACATGCCCTTTAAATTAACATGACACAAATTTACACCAACCAATGTCATAAACTAAGCAGAAAACACACTTGTTAAACAGTTGCACCACAGAACCACAGGAAACACTTAGAGAGTACTTACCAGTTGAAAGCTGTAAGGTAACTGGTGAAGGGAGAGAACCAGAGAGAAAGAACTATTAATAGATGTGAAATACAAAACTCACATCCCAACAGCCTGCCAGGATTCACTTCCCTGCTGAGTCACAGCCAAACATATAGTACTAAAACACACGTCATGGTCACACATTTACACTTTGCTCAAACTGGATGTGTATGTTATAGTGCGCGGTATTCATGTTACAAAAACAGAAACCAAACTAGATTTGTACTTTTTTTTTTTTTTTTGAAAGAAAATGTGAGTGGCACTAACTCCCCGCCACATGCCACAACTAAGAAATACAGTTAAAAATCATTAACAAAATATCCTGGTTAAGCTCAAACAACAGCATTTGTGGCATAAGTAAATTACCACATTCAATAATTTAGATTCATGCTTAAAAAGAAAAATCAAAGTTACAATGCAAGTGAATAAGGCCAATTTTGGAAGCTTTTCAAAATTTTAGTAAAGCACTTCTGTTAAAACTTAAAGGCAGAGTAAGTGATTTCTGGTAGCCAATGTTGATATTTAAAATCACCAAAACAAACACGCCCCTACCCCAAAAGGGTCTTGCCCCTATTTTGATAGCTCCGCCCCACAGAGTTCTCTCCGGCGCTGGAAAGCTGATCCGATATTTACACGGGTCCTACTTCTTGCCTTGTCGTTCCGCAGACGTTTTCCTCTTTTGTTTTTTTATCCGCCATCTCTATCTTTCTGTCGCTCGGCTCGGCTAATGTCCGTCCCATGCACTGAAAGCTCTCTCCTCCACATCACGAGTAGACACGCCCCTTATTGCTGATTGGCTACAAGTTTGTTTTGTTATTCGGCCCGAATCAGTTTTCTAAAGTGTTTTTGAAAAATCACATACCCTGCCTTTAACAGAAGTTACAGTTGTAAAGTTGTATAGCAGTAAGATGCTGTGTAGGTATAAAGTGATTAACGCTTTAGGTTTTTAGCATTACGTTGTCGTGAAATTGAACATAACTTTACACAAAATAGGTTAGTAAGCGATTTTACCACATTAAAATCATCATGTACACAAAATATTAACAGTACATCTTGTAGCTGTACTGTTAAAAAAGTGAGCATTTTAATGTTTATGGATTGGCCCCATTTACTTCCATTGTAAGTGCCTCACAGATTTTTACTTATTAAAAAAATATATATATTTACTTGGTAATCAATATTACTAGATGGTTGCTAGGGTGTGACTAAGAGTCTCAAATTTTCAGCTGCTTTATCATATCATAATGTAAAAATTGTAAGTGATTAACAGATTATTTAAATTATATAGGAAGAAAATAACAAACTAAAATCGAATGTGTTAACAGAATATATATATAAAATTTAAAACCAGATTGTTAAGTGTGTTATTTCAGTACAACAATATGCATAACATACTTTTTTTCTTAACTCAAGTTTCTCAAAACTCTGGCTTATAAACTCTCTTTCTTGCTCTAAATGTGTTACTGCCAAGTATTTCCTGTCGTTTGACTGACAGCTCAAACCGCACTTCCTGCATCATTGAAGGACTGTAGCGCAGATAGCGAGCTGGCCCTCTTACCTGCCTCTGCTACCAGGATAGAGAGAAAATACAAACAACAGTAGACAGACAGAAAGAACACAGCTGGACACAGACAGACACTTTAATGTCATAACGTTATAGTAAGTCGTTATTTGCTCTATGAAGGTGATATTTCATCAAACAGTGTGTGGGGTCAATACTGACTCCAGAGTCGACACAGTTGAACTATCCCAGCATGTGAAAGCTGCAGGGGTGGAAGAAGTGTGGGATCAAAGCACAAACGCCTCCATTGAACTCACACACACTGGACTGGACCGAACTACAAATACATTTGACCTTTCGCAAGCCACTCAGGAGGTTAGACTCATGAGTCTCGTTAAAGGAATATTCCATGTTCAATACTTAAGACTCTGTGGCTCAGTTACCACAGAAAATCATTCTCAACTCTGTTCGTAAAAACAAAAATGTTTTTACATTAATCCACATACAGTGGAAGTCAGCAGGCAAGTAAACCTTGAAGTGTTTATAAGCAGAAGTGTAAAGGTTGTTTTTTAAAGCACTTGTAATAATTCCTCTGTACAGAAAAATAAAAATAAATAAATAAATGTTTTTTGGGATTTAGTCATCTAAATTGTCTTTTTGAGATGGCACTACTTTTCTTCTCTCCTTCTTCTCTTCTCTTTAAACAGTTTAAAGATAGTTCCATCACGTCCCTTTCTGGTATCCTTGGCCGTGTGTTTTTATTAGTGTATTGTTTTAGAACCTTTGAGGTTTTAATGTTGCATAATATGAAACTGTTTTTGCACTGATACCAGACATATGCATTTATTTTGAATAAATCTTTTAATTTGCATTTATCAAGTCCTACATCAAAAGTTACAATCATTTTTTATTTTTTTTATTAAATTATTTCATTAAACATAGTTCACACATTATATATATGTG